TTTGCAGGCAAAAATTTCTTAAAAAACAAGTGTCAAGAGAGTATTGCTAAAAATAAAAAAGAGAGAGTATTGCTAGTTCTATGTTTCTGTAACAATTTCACTCAATTAGAAGTGTAGGATGTCATCTCTTGCTTTTGATTTTGTTTTTTTTTTTTTTTTTTTTTTGCGGAACAAGGGACTGAACTCAGGACCTTGCGCTTGCCAGACAAGTGTTTATTCTACTGAGCTATTTCCCCGGCCCTTCTTTTTGATTTTTACCAACTCTATGTGGAAGTTTCAAGAATAACAACAACTTAGTCCATTTTCTGGCTCTATAACAATACCACAGATTATGTAATTTATAAAGAATTTTTGAGAGAGTATTTTTGCTATGTATCTCACAGCAAAAAAGCGGAAGGAACAAGAGAGTTACTTTTTTAAATTTTGTGTATTTGGTATAGAATCTCATTATACAGCTTGGACTCATAGTGATCCTCCTGTTTCAGCCTCCCCAACTCTGGGACTACAGGTGTGTGCCACCATGCCTGGTTTCAGTGGCTGGGCGGGGCTGGTATAGCATGTGGTACCAGTATGGGATCGAATCCAGGTCCTTGCCCTTGCCTAGGCTACTGCTGAGCTATCTACAAGGCCCAAGAGTCATTTTTATAACAAATCCACTTCTGAGATAATGGCAGTTATCCACCCAGGAGGGTAGACCCATCATTATTTAATCACCCCTTTGAAAGGTTCCAGTTCTTTACAGTTACAATAATGTTGTTTGATTTGTCCCTTAGTTACTTTGCTCATTGTTGAGACAAAATACCTGACACCCAAAGTTAAAATGAAAAGGTTTATTTGGCTCATAGTGTGTAGAGGTTTTTGTTCACTGGCTCCAAGGTAGGCTGGCATGACAGAGGGGCATCACAGAGAAGAAATAGTCCATGGCAGGCAGATGGTAACAAGCAGCCATCCTCTTTCTCTGTCTTGTATCTTATCTAGTATACTTAAACTTGGGGTGGGTAGCACACATATCCAGCTTGGGACCATCTTATCTTAACACAGTGCCCCATGAATCAATCCCAGCATCAGATCCTTGATCCCAGTATCACACACCCTACACCGAGCCATCTCTGGAAAGCCTAAACTAAGACTGCATGAGGCTTTGGAGGAAACATGTAGATACGAGTGCTAATAGTCCTCCAGAAGGCTCTTATGTTCAGAAGTGGTGCTTTTTGGAAGTGACTGGATGGAGAGGGCAACAATCTCATTAATGGATTAATTTATTGAAGAATTCAAAATTGAAAGTGCAGTTGGAAGAGGTGGATCATGTATATTCCTGTCCCCCCTCTCCCTCCATGTGGTTCTCTTGCTCCCTGTCTGCTTCCAGTAGCCATGGTTGGAGCAATTCTCTTTTCCCATGCCCTTCTGCCATGCTATTTGTGTCTTGGAGCCAGTGGAAGGTAGATTCAAACCTCTAAAACTGATACAGGGAACCTCCAAATGACACAGGGAGAAAAACTGGTCTCCCAACCTAAAAGGTACCTGGAAAGAGTTCATGTTCTCTAAAACTGAACAATGAATTTTAGGAAAAAACAGAGGTTATGAACAGAATGTATTTATTGAGGGAAAGAAAGCTTCTATCTAAGAGAGGGACAGGAGGGGGGAGGAGGGGCCTGCGCGGGTTGTCCATAGGAAAATGTCTCTTCTAGGGACTTTTATAGAGAAAAACCATGTGGTGAGGTGGGTCTAAGGCAGTGGCAAAGACTTGGGAACTCTCTTAGGTGGGACAAAACTATGGTCAACCAATGAGATTATAAGCACCATTGCTCAGGTAAAATTGATTAAATCTAGTACCAAATGGGGAAGCAAGTCACGTAGCAAGCCGGCATGAATATGGGACAGGGTCTCTTCCATTTGGGGGTTGGGTTAGTGGACTAAAGCACCTGCTTAGGCAGAGTGCAGTGGCTGGGGTTTGATCCCTCCTGTGCCCCACCCCCTGGGCTTGCTGGTAAAATGATTGAGACTGGGTGTGGTGGCATGTGCCTGTAATCCCAGCACTTGGGAGGCTGAAAACAGGAGAATCATTACAAGTCTGCTCTACGTAGTGAGACCTTCTAGACCCTGTACCCAATACATAAAATAAAAAAAATCTTTTTTAGAAATGTTTTTTTTTTTTGTGTGTGTGTATTTTAGGGGAGGGTCTACAGGGTGTTCAGGGTCTTACTACTAGATTGGATTTGTGGTGTTCTGCCTGTTTACAGCCTCCCGACAGCTGAGATTACAGGGGTACGCCACCACACCCAGTCTCAATTGCCATCTCAGTGTGCCCTGGGGGGCGGAGCCAGCATGGCAGGCCTGGGGATTGAACCCCAGCACCTGCGCCTGCTTGTGGGTGCTTTAATCCTCTGAGCTATTTGGCTGGCCCTAAAAACCAAATTTTCTAATTAGCCACCTGATCAGTTAATTGCTAAACCTGGAAAACATAAAATTGTAAGAAACCTGTAACTCCATATACCTTTATATTGAGCAATAACTTTCATTTATTGTCTCATGTTTGTTAATTTTTTTCTAAATTATTTAAAAAGCTGCACATTAACATATTATACTTCAATAAAACATTTAAGACTAGGTGAGTATTGTAGGTTTTCATTACATAAATAATAATGAATATATAGGTTTTTGTGAAATTAAAGACTTAGGAGTGGGTAATTTACAGTGAATAAAATTATTCACAGCATTTATGAGGAATTCTTACAGGCTTGAAGCAGTCAAAGCCTTATATGACATAAAACAAGCAATGACTATAAAGGTTAGACTATTTTAAAATAAAACTGGGGGTTGGAGAGATGGCTCAGTAGAATAAGCACTTGCCTGGCAAGGGCAAGGGCCTGAGTTCAACCTCCCCAAAAATAAATAAAAATAAAATAAAACCGATGCTGATCAAAAGACCCTTAAAAATGAAAAGGTAACTATGAGAAGTTATCTGAAATAAATGTAGCTCACAATGACTCATCTCTAGACCATGAAAGAACAACTAAATTAGTAAGAAAACTCTTTAAAATGGTCATATTTACACTTTTCTTTCCTCACTTATGGGTCCTAGAGTCTGCTGGAAATGCTTGAAAGTACCATGAATGTATAGATTCATATGAAACTAAATCTACTTGTTTCACTTTTCTATAAGGATATCGTTTTTTGTTTGTTTGTTTGTTTGTTTGTTTGTTTGGCTGGCTCAGGCAGCCTTCAGGGCAGATCTGGTATGTCATGTGGAGCTGGAGATGGAACCGTGATCCCTGTACCTGACTGGGTTTGCCCATGTAGGTGCTTAAACAACTAGGCTAACCAGTAAGCTCATATTTCATTCTTCTAATTCAGCTATCATAGGCCAAAGCCCAATGGTGGAGCAGTTGCCTAGCACTCATAAAGCCCTGTGTTTCATCTTTTTTTTTTTTACCAAAATAAAAAAGAAAATTAGCTAATGGTGGCCGACCGGATAGCTCAGCAGACTAAAGTGCATTATGCAGGCACAGGGACCAGGATTCAATTACTGGCATGCCGCAACAGCCCGATCCTGGGGTGCACTGAGACAGTGACTGAGACTGGGCATGGTGGCTCAAGCAATTCCAGTGCTTGGGAGGCTAAAAACAGGATCACTACACATTCAATCTGTGTAGTGAGACCCTGAACTAAATACATTTGGGAAAGAAAGAAAAAAGGAAAGAAGGAATTAGTTAATGGTATCAAGCTTCACCAGTTACTCAAACCAGAAACTTCTTCCTTTTTCAATTTATCACTAAACCCAATTTTACCTCAAATATCACTGCAGTTCATACCCTCTATAATCAGATTTAGATTCTTTGATCTCTGGATCACAAAAGTTACCTAGCAGCAATTATTTTCCTTTCTCCTTTATTTATCCTTTCATAATAGAGATACTAAACCCAAAGAGTGCAAAGGACTCCTAGATTAAAAATCCTACAAATTTACATTGTTAAAGACAGTAACCACCTAAGCTTCTTAGTATACCACTCCCTGTCCTTGTATGACCTGGAATTTACTTCTTCAGCGCTAACTCTGTTTCTCTGAACTTTAGTTTCTACAGATTTTAGAACTCTTCTGTTTCCAAACACACAAGACTTAATTTTTCTGGCTAAATAGCTGCTTTTCCCTTCCTCCATCAACTTTCATTTTTTGAGGCTAAGCCCAGGTATGGCAACTTGTAGGAAGAGATCACTATGAAGTATTCCTCCTTATCTGTTTGGGCCCCTTATTTTGTCTTATGTCTTAGAATTAGTTTCAACGTCTTGGGGCTATTAACATCTTTGAATTTCAAGTTGGTATAGAGTTAGGATGTAGTAGGCAATCTAATTCAGGATTTGTCTACATCCTCTGAGCCTCTCATTCTCCTCTTCCCCATTCTACTGCGTCTGGGGGTACTACTTGCTTGCTAGAATCGTCCTGGTTGAATCAGCTAGGGTCAAAGGCAGTGGGGAGCCTGATCGAATAAACTGAAAAACAGCACCTAGAAAATTTTGGGCTACGTTCCTTCCCTCTATGCCTTCATTTCTTAAAAAAAATTGTTTTATTTTATTTTTTGGACCGGGAATCAAACTCAGGACCTCGCTCTTTCCAGGCAGGCGCTTACATTCCTGGGCTACCTCCCTGGCCCCCTCTATGCCTTCTGATAGAAAAGGTTTTTCTTCTTGGTCTGCGAAGCCAACTACAAATAAAGCTTAGGCTGGAAAATGGATCAGCAAACATTAATAGGGAACCGGCTCGCAGGAAGTACAAACATTTTTCCCTTCTGGCTTTGGCCAGTGTAACACGCTTTTGGCGAGTCCTAGCTGGTTAGGATTCACAACTGCGGGAACCTATGGGCCATCCGGGAATCTGCTCCTGGAAACTCCCACGCAGCTACGAATGACGTTATGGGTCACGAAAGGCGTGGCTCCCCGCGGCAGCCATGATGAAAACCATTGAAAATGGAGCTCACGTTAGCATTTTAGGAATTTTGCATACGCCCCTAATTGCCACACATTACTGAGGGATAAAAACATTAAGATGTGGCTTTGAGAAACTGCCCCTCGAGGCTAGGTTAGGATGCTAACATGAGCTTCACAGGAGAGACCGAATGCACAAATCGCAGGCCTCCGCAAGCACGGCGAGGGGCGGGACCCGAGACTGGGCGGGACAGCCAGTCCTCCACCTTCCCAGCCGGCCCCGCGGCGGCTAGTCGCCTCTCCTCCCCCAGCTGCACGCTGCGTGACTGCTCGTTGGCTGTTTAGGACGGAAGCTCGTTTGGTGTTTCTCCAGAAGTTTCCCCTTAGGGCGGCGGCGAAGCTGGTAACTGCGGTGGCTGTCTCTCAGGCCGCTACAACTGTAGTTTGGAGATGGCGGCGCCTGCTGCAGGACCTGCAACAGCCCAGCGGTGTGTGTTTGTTTTTCTTTCCTTTTGCTGTTCATTTTATCCTTCTTACCTTGGTTAGTGAACCTGCTGAATTCGTTGTTTTCCTGGCAGGTTTTCCCAGACCTTCTCAGATAATCTGATCGAGGAGGACCCTCAGGCGGCGTTAGAGGTGAGAGAATCCATTTCTGTCTTTTCCACTATCTTCTTTAGGGGAACGGAAATGAGTTGGGTTCTGGCTAAAAGTGCTTGTTCCCACTATTTCCTTCGTGGATCCCAAGCTGCTGTGTTTGTCTCAGCCCCAATCCTTGCACCTCTTTCTCTGCTTTAAAGTGACCTTTTGCCTCAGACCCCTGCTACTCTTGCTTTTACACCTCCCAGACTTCTGCAGCCCCACAGCTACAGAGAAAACCCAACGCGTACGTTTTATTTCTTGGGGACATAATTGGCATCCCACTGACCTGAGAGATTTTTAAAAAATGAAGTAAAAAGTGAAAATTAGACTTGGTGATGCAAATTCACTCTTTCATTTGATAGTTACTTTTTAATTGTCACATACGAGGCACCGTTCTTAAATACGAGGCACGGTTCTAAGTTTGTGTATGTAGTCTACAATTACCAAAAACTTTTCACGTGCCTTTTGAGACTTTCTGGGTATTGTTAAGTCAAACGGGCGTGATGGCACACGCCTGTAATCCCAGCAGTCATGAGTTGTTTGCAAGGTGGTGATTGTTACTGGCTAAAGTCATTTATGCGCTTAATAAACTTAGTCCTTAAAGCTGTAGAGAAACGTGGAAAAGCAAGAGCTCAATAAAAATTAAAATAGAGCCGAAGCTACACAGATACTGTAGATACTGCTGTGGATTTCAAAATTTATGCAGGAGCATCTTGCTTTCAAATACAGAGCTAAGGGTGCTTCATTGCTAACACTTAACGTACCACAACTGCTCAAAAAGTTAGCAATTTGAGGCAACAAGACGTTTTTCCTAGGTATGACTTACAGAAGAAATATTCAAGGCTTCTCTCGAGGGGGCGTTAATTGGAATTGAGACCTGAATGAGAGACCTAGATTGGCAGTAAAAAAGAGCCAATACAAAGATCTTGAGGTTGGAACGAAGTTGATTTGTAGTAGGAGTTGCAAAAGCCCCTTTGATTAAGAGTGGCTTGAAAGTGGAGCGGGAGATAAGATTGAACAGAAAATCAGAGGCTCAAATAAGGTGGGTAAAGGTTTCTGGGATCAGTACTGGAATAATGTAGAGGAATTTTTTGACAGTTTCTCTTCATTGTTTCTAGCTAGACAGCTACCAAGTTTGGCTGACCTTGAGCTCATTATGTAGCCAAGACTGGCTTCAAACTCACTGTGTAGCCTAGGCTGGTCTCCAACACTAATCTTCCTGGCTTAATTTTTTAATGTACATTCTATCATTGACCTGTTAGGCCCAATGATGTTTTGGAAATCCAGTTTGACAAAATTACTTCTGAATTACATTAAAAAGTTTTTATTGTAGTACGGCAAATGTAAACATACATTTAAAGACAAAATTTGATGAATTTTGTCCCTTGAACATCACCTAGTCACATTATAGAACATCTCCATCTTTAAGGTTCCAGTAGATTCCATTTGTTGTGTCATCAGTTTGTTTGTTTGTTTATTTATTTACTTATTTATTTTTGGTGGAACCAGGGATTGAACTCAGGCCAGGCAAGTGCTTATTCCACTGAGCCATCTCCCTGGCCCCTAGTTTATTTATTTTTTGTATGTTTTTTTTTAGGGAAGGTTCTACAGGGTATTCAGGGTCTCACTACTAGATTGGACTTGTAGTGATCCCCCTGTTTAGAGCCTCCTAAGATCTGGGATTACAGGCGTGTGCCACCACACCCAGTCTCAGTTGCCTTTCACAGGGTGGAGCTGGCAGGGCAGGCCTGGGAATGGAATCTCTGGCCCCTGCACATGCTTGCAGGCTCTTTAATCCGCTGAGGAATTTGGCCAGCCCTACCATCAGTTAGTTTTGCTTATTGTTGTGCTCACACACACAAAATAAAGTTAGTGCTTTGTTTAGTATAGATACTTTAGTTCTGTTTTAATCATTGTATGAATATGCACCCATACTGTGTGAAGTAGTAATTTTTCATTGTGTATTATTTTGTTGTATAAATATAACATCAATTATTTAGCAATGGACATTTGGTTTATTTCTCATTAGTGTGAATAAAGCCAGTGTGAATTCTCGTACATATATTTTGATGAACAATACATTCCTTTTTTTTTTTTTTTTGATTGTGTATTCCTAGAAGTAAACTTGAATAGGGTAGACATGTAGACTTGGTTCTTAATTTGTGGCTGTTGGACAAGTAATGTCAGTGTCACCATGCAGATTTTTACTGAAAATTCTTACAATTCATATTCAGTTAATAATATTGAGACCCAAAGCAATTGAAAAGATCTGTCATAGTGATGTGTAGCCATTTAGAGCCAGAATGGGGCCTCAGGACACAGCCTTTTTTTTAGTCTCCTCTTGTAAGTAATGGTTCTCAAAAGTGTGGTCACAGTTAGAAATTGATATTGTCTGGGCCCTTCACAGACATGTAATCAGAAACTGATGGAGAGGTTGATTATGTTACAGCCAACTAGAATGCTCTCTCTAAACCTTGAGATAACTGGTTGTAGTGACAAGTCTGGAACTCCTTAGGGTGAGTTGTTTTCCTAATGACTACCTCAAGTGTAGCCATTTTGTAATTCAGGTCACTTGATACAACATTAGTTTAAATGTATTTTATATAAGATGATCCAGTTAGGAATGTAGGAAGATGACTGTGGACACTGGTCACATTTTTCATTCATTCACCAGGTGGTTCATTAGTGGTGAATACTGTCTTGGGTACCCAGAATATTAAGATGGAAAGACTGTATTTGGTAGGAGCAATGACATTGGATGTTCCAAAGAGGTAGTATAATTATGGTTAACAATAATTGTCTTATTTCAGAAGAGATGGTAGTGGCCCTTTGAGAACCATTACTTAAAAGAGGAGACTAAAAAAAAGGCTGTGTCCTGAGGCCCCATTCTGGCTCTAAATGGCTACACATCACTATGACAGATCTTTTCAATTGCTTTGGGTCTCAATATTATTAACTATATGAATTGTAAGAATTTTCAGTAAAAATCTGATTTTTAATTTCCCCAGCAAAGAAGTGGTGTATAACTGAAGTAGATATGCCAATAACCTTGTTCTGATCATTTCATATTGTATATGCTGTAGATACTCCATAAATACGTGCAATTGCTGTTAAGATCCCCCCCCCCCCAACCAGGGATTGAACTCAGGCGCTTGCCAGGGGAAGCGCTTATTCTACTGAGCCATCTCTGCATCCCCCTAAGATATATTTAAATACAAAAAAATCTTTGAAGAGGAGATTGCAGTTCAATAGGGAGAGGAAAAAGAGTCTTTCATGCCCATTATACATGATAGTTAAGGACTCAACCAGAAGCGTCATGGTCCAGTTCTTATCACAGAGCAAATTTTCTATTAGCAAAATGGAAATAAGACCTACTTAAGAGTTATTTTAGGGCCGGGGAGATGGCTCAGTAGATTAAGCGCTTGCCTGGCAAGCACAAGGGCCTGAATTCAATCCCCGGTTCTGCAAAAAACCAAAACAAAAGAAAAAATAAGAGTTACTTTGATGATAAATAAGGTACTCTGTGTATGTTTTGTGCTTTAGTGCATGCCTGAGATAGGTAAAGACTCCATAACTGTTCCATCCTGGGGACATGTTCTGTAGTGTAGAACATAAAATGTAGAGGCAAGTGCTAGGAAATAAAAGCTATGCAGTAGAGCATCCAGTCATAAAGACAATAAATCTAAGCAGAGGGATTTTAGTTTTATCATGGTTATGCATGTCTCTGAAAAATTTGAAGGAAATTAAGTTATTCAAATTACAATACCTGCTTTAAAAGCAGAGTAAATAGATTAAAGAGGCATGAAGGACAGTAAATAACAGGAAGAAGGGGCTACAGACCAGGTAAAGGATGAATGTTGGAATTTAGAGCAGTGATTAAAGGCCTTGAAGGGAATTATTTTACATGAAATGCACTAGACTTTGTGACAGTTTTAAGGTACAGGATGATGCCTATGTTGCTAGGTTGGGAAATGTAGAAGTTGGTATTACTTAGTTTGTGGCACTTAGATCTAATCGAGGGTGGGCAACAGATTTAAAGAAGTTTCTTTAAATTTTGAATATTATGCGTGGATTACCTCAGGGGCATTTGATTATATGGGGTTCTTGCTTAAGAGAAGCAAGTATATTAGGATATGTTCAAGAAACATGTATGGAATTTTTGGACACTTAAAGATGTCAGAGAATCTAAGGAGAAAAGTCTAAACAGTGTTAGAGAAGTACTAGTTGTAAAAGATTAGCAGAATAGTAGACTGAAAGTTGTGATCAGTATTGTAGGGGCCATAGTATGATTAAGTCAGTATTTGAGAAGATTAAGACCATGAGGACAAATCAAATTTATGCAGAATAACATCCACTACTAGTTGTCTTCAGTGTGAATTCCTGCTACTTTACACTTGTATACATGTATGGTTGTATAGTTTGAAACCTTTTAGTTATCTTTGCTTTCAGTTGAATTAAAAAGTATCAGTAAAAAAAAGACTACAAAGGCAAAGGCAATCAAGGAAAAGTAGAAAATATGGGAAAGACAGGAGTTTGTAAAGAGAATGATCAATAATTTTCATGCTATGTTTATAAGATCCATGTATAGATCTAGGCTACTCTAAAACCCCACAGTTATTTTTGATTTCTCCCCCATATCCAATCCTGGTTTGAACACATCTCATTTTTCTTCATAATATCTATGGTTATTACTCTCTTCTAGCCTAGTGTTAACATATTTGTTTCTCAGAAATTTCCACCCCATTCCTGCTTCTTTTTTTTAATTTTTAATTTATATTATTTTACTGTATATGGTACAAGGTGTACAAGGTCTCACTATACAGGTCAGACTCATAGTGATCCTCCTGTTTGTAGCCTCCCAAGCACTGGGATTACAGGTGCGTGCCACCACGCCCAGACTCATTCACTGCCTCAGTGTGCCCCGTGGGTGGGGCTAGCATGGCATGCAGTACCACGGATTGAACCTTGGTCCCTGTACTCTGCCTAAGCAGGTGCCTTAGTCCGCTGAGCTATCTGGCTAGCCCCATTCCTGCTTCTTTATAAGGTATTCATGATAGAGTAGCCAGTGACATTTTTATTGTCATTGGACTGTGTTACCCTCCTAATAATGAATTTCTATGGCCTTCCTTCACATCAAAGGTCTAAATTCCTTATTAAGGCCTACAAAGTAGTAAGTGAGGTATAGCTGATTTGCTCTTTAGGTTGCAGTCACATTGACTTCATACCTGTTGTTTGAATGTATGTATTCAACTCAATTCTGGCATCTTGGAGTTGCTATGTCTTTTGCTCAAAATGTTTTTTTCTGTGTGTGTGCAGAGTCTCACTACACAGCTCGGACTCGTAGTGATCCTCCTAATTTCTGCCTCCCTAGTACTAGGTTCAAAATGTATTTTTTTTTTCAAATCAGGTATTGAACTCAGGCCCTTGCACTTGCCAGACAAGCGCTATCTCCCCGGCCCCTCAAAATGTATTCTTGACCTATATCATTATTTTTCTTGGCAGTGCTTCTTCCTTTAGAATGCAGCTGAAATGACTTCTCAGATAAGACAGTTTTCTTATGTAAATCTGTGCTAGCCCTGATTGTAAGCTTTAAGACAGTAGCAGGTTTTGTGTATTACTGCTGTTTTCAGCGTAGTGCTTGGTATATAATAAGTACTCCAGTGTGTTGGATGAGCCCTATCATTTTTCTAGCAGCTGTGATGTATACTCTTTGCATTTTATTAATCAGGAGGCTGAGGTAAGAGAGGTAAGCTCACTCAAAATGGCACCCTTTGTAAGTGGTAAGTATTTGGTTTCAAAAGATCAAATTCATCAACTGGAGGAGGGAAGATGATTGGGATATATGATATCATTAATAGTTTGCAGCTGACTTTGAAATACCTGACCAGAGAGAACTTTGCTGAAGGCACAGCTGAGATTGGTAAACGTGTGATGAATGTTATCAGTTTTGCATGTTTTATTTGGTTTTACCCCCCTTCAACAGTTGTAAGTAGTTTAAAATAGAAGAATGATTGCTGTTACTATCTGATTGGAAATTAGTTGAGTGACTGGAAGAAAATGGAAAGGAGAATCAGATTAAGAGATAATGTAGGGGCCGGGGAAATGGCTCAGTAGAAAAAGCGCTTGCCTGGCAAGCGCCAGGGCCTGAGTTCAATCCCGGGTTCCGCAAAAAAAGGAGATAATGTAGAGTTAAAGGTTTCCAGAATGAGCAGTGCTTTTACTTCTACTTCCACTACTACTACTACTTCTTCTTCTTCTTTTTTTTTTTTTTTTTTTTTTTTTTTCTTTTCTTTATTTAGTACAGGGTCTCACTACAGAGATGAGACTCTTTAGTGATTCTCCTGTTTTCAGCCTCCCAAACCCTGGGATTATGGGCGCACCACCACATCCAGTCTCCATCACCTTCTCAGCACACCCTGTGGGTGGGGCCGGCATGGCAGGGCTCAAACCCTGGCCACTGCGGCTACTGGTACTGCTGCTGCTGCTGCGCAAGCTGTAGTCCACTGAGCTATCAGGCCGGCCTTTTTACTTCTAACTTTAACAAATTCCTTCCTTGAGTACCTTCTCCCACCCTTTGGTACTAGGGATTGAACCTAGGGCATTCTAGAATTGAATGACATCCCCATCCCTTTTTGAGACTTTGTCTTGCTAAATTGTCTGGGCTGTCCTTGAACTTGTGATTTTTCCTTAGCCTCACTATTACTGGGATTACAGGCATGTGCCCTGGTGGCTGGCTATGTGATATTTTAAGAGAGCCTAAAGCTGAATATTTGAAAATATGCCAAGGTGCAATTTTTGATTTTATTTTTTTTGGTGCTGGGACTCATGAATGCTAACCAAGTTCTCTACCACAAATATATCATCAACCCCTAATTCTTAATTTTAAGACTTTTGCCTTAAAGAATGGTTTTTCTTTCTCTTTTTGTTTTGGTTTATCAGGGTGGTTGTTTCACAGTTATTAAATTTCATTGTAAACTAGGCATGGTGGCGCATGCCTGTAATCCTAGCAGAGGTAGGAGGATCTTTTGAGTTCAGGACCAACCTGGGCTACAAACTGTGCTTAAGGCCAGCTTGCACTGCATGGCAAGACCTTTTCTCAAAAAGACAACAACAAAAAAAGATTTCATTCTAGTTATATAGTAGTGCCTTAGTTCTTGAACTTAACCAAACCACTTACCAGTCAGTCTAATTATTTTAATAAGGGTGACCAAAAAGTGCATATTTTTTTTCTTTTTTATTTATTTATTTATTTATTTATTTTTTGCGGTACAAGGGATTGAACTCAGGACCCTGTGCTTGCCAGGCAAGTGCTTATTTACTGAGCTATCTTCCCGGCCGCTTTTTTTTTTTTTTTTTTTTGGTGGAACTGGGGTTTGAACTCAGGCCTTTGCGCTTCCCAGGGAAGCACTTACTCTACTGAGCCATCTCCAGCCCTCCCGTATTTTTATTCTTATAACAACATAAAAACAGTTATCAAATTTATTCAGTACAAGCATCAACTGGTTGAAAGACATCTGCCTGAGTGAGACTCAAGATAGTATATAAACAAATGCACTGACCAAGTGACACCCAGAGTAAGCTGTTGAGGGGTTTTGCCATTGACAGAGGAGAGGGCCAAGCTTGATTATGTATTTGTGGATTCTTTTAACCTCTTGGGGCTGTAGATTTAACTTTTAAAGATTGTTTTTCTTATTTAAAAATTTTTTTGCTGGCCACATAGCTCAGCATATTAAAGCACCCGCTTAGGTAGACACAGGGCTTGGGTTCAATCCCTGGCCTGCTGTGCTGGCCCCATCCATGAGGCGCGCTAAGATGATTGACACTGGGCATGGTGGTGTGTGCCTGTAATTGCAGTGCTTGGAGGGGTTTAAAACAGGAGGATCACTATGAGTCTGATCTGTGTAGTGAGACCCTGTAAAATACATTAAAAAAATAAAAAATTAACCACTAGGAAGAATGTATGCATGTTAATTATTGAAACTATCCCACCAATTTGATTTGAAAAAAAAAGAAAAGAAATTTTTAAACGTATTTGGTACAGAGTCTCACTGTGCAGCTTGAACTCCTAGTGATCCCCCTGTTTTTAGCCTCCCTAGTACTGGAATTACAGGCTTGTGGCACTATGCCCGCCCATCCGCTCTGGCCATTTCACACACTGGAGCAGTGCCAGTTTGGCCTGTGGTGGCAGGGTTGGAATCCTGGTCCCTGTGCTTCCCTAAGCAGGTGCTTAGTCCACTGAGCTGTCTTGCTGGCCCTAGAGATTGGATTTGCCTTGTTTTTTGTTTTGTTTTTAAATTTTAAAACTTTTTTAAAAAGTTGTTTCAAACTGCATGTTTGGATCTGCTCCAAATTTGTGAAATTCTGAACTAGTCAGTGTATGCCAACTAAATTCAGAATAAATAACATGATAATAACCTTTTATTAAGTCCTGGTATATGGCAGGAACTGCTAAGGGCTTTACAAAGATACTACTTTAGATTGTGTTCTTTGGGTATAGGGAAGTAGAAAGGGAAGGGGAGGTACTTATCCTCATACAAGGAAAAGCTCCAAGCTTGTTTCTTTGTCTTTTTTTCCAAATAGCTTGTGTTAATAGGTTATTTGACTAAACAACATTTTTAGATTAAATGGCTTTACAAAACATCCACTGATACTCAGCACGTTTTTATTTGTAGGAGCTGACTAAAACTTTGGAACAGAAACCAGATGATGCACAGTATTACTGTCAAAGAGCTTACTGTCACATTCTGCTTGGGAATTACTGTGGTAACTTTTCTTATAGTCTTCTTTAATATTACTTTTGCCCTAGCCAAAGTGAAATTGAAGTGGAGGTTAGGTTTTTTTTTGTTTTTTGGCAGAACCAGGGATTGAACTCAGACCCTTGCGCTTGCCAGGGAAGCACTTAATCCACTGAGCCATCTCCCCGGCCTCTAAGGATTTTTTTTTTTTTTTTGCTTCGAATGCCTTCAGGGCAGGTTTGGCTGGCTGGAGAGTTGTAGGGATCGAACTTCAGCAACCTGAGGCTGACAGCTTTGTGGAAGCAGCCACTTAAAGAACTGAGCTAGGGTCAGGCCAAAAGCTTATTCTGTTTTGTTTTGTTTTTTTTTTTTTTTTGATGAACTGGGGGTTGAACTCGGACCCTTGCGTATGCCAGGGAAGCGCTTATTCCACTGAGCCATCTCTCTGGCTAGATTTATTTTTGAATTGATCTTTTGAAAAGATAAGCTGCAGTGTGATACTTACGTTGAGTAATAGCCATTTGACATGTGTGTCTTCATTTGTCAGTGGGTAGAAAATTTATACAAATTTCATGGTAGTGGGCTATATTAATAAGAAATATTGCATTTATTATTTTGTGGTATAGTTAAGTGAAATGTTTTATTTTATTTTTTTGTGGTACCGGGGATTGAATGGTATATTTAAGTGAAATATTCTTGTTTACTTTTTTTTGGCGGAATCGGGGATTGAACTTAGCCCCTTGCACTTGCCAGACAAGCGCTTATTCTACTGCACTATCTCCCCAGCCCCTTCTTGTTTACATTTTGAATAAAAGCATGTTTCTGTACGTTGTATAACTTGAAAAAATTATTCTGATTGAGAATTTGGGTAGGGAAGAATTTAGTACCTTTTGTCAAATTATGTAAATATTGATAGAAAGGTATGAACTTTATGATGTGAAATTTTACGGATAGAATTTTAAGAGGACAACTTGATAATTAGGTTATAAGAAAGGTATAGTAGTACTTACTTGAATTTTATCTTGTATTAGTTTTGTTACAATTGAAAACCATTTGGCCTTTCCACCAAATGAAGAACTTAAAAGTATAAGACTAGTTTAAATGCTGCATCTGTAACTATCTGACTAGAAAGCAGTCTTTTTTATATAGGTGGTGTTGCTGATGCAAAAACTTCCCTAAAACTCAACCCTACTAATACCACTGCTATGCTGAGAAAAGGGTATGTAATTAATTACTATTGTTGTTGGGCTTGGAAAGGAAATAGTTGATGTTTAACTTTTTTAGTTATTGTAAACTTTGTGTATACTAAAATGCTATACTTCTATGTACATTTTATAACTGGTTCTGTTTTAAATATAATATATAGTTCTGTTAGTATATTAGCTGAAGTATGTGATGAGCCTATATTTGATATGTTTTAAAATGATGATTGAAGTAATTGCAAGTTATAGATAAACAGATTACACATTCCTTTATTATCATTTTGAATTTATTGTGCTCAGCGAACTACAGAACATCCCATTCTCCTGGGTAGGTAACACTTAATGCTGTGAAAACTCTGTTTTATGTAGATTTGTTAAACCCAGCTTGTTTGTGTTATGTATGATTTTATTTAATAAATCAATTCTTATGCATGCTTTACTTTGAAATCAAAAAGTATGTATAATTAATTTTGAAGTGAGTTCCAAAATTGAATTGTAATGAGAATTACAGTTAGTGTTTTGCAAAATCTGTCTCATTAAAATACTCAGCAATAGAGAATAATAACATCTTTTTTGTTTAGAAGACTTTTTCATGATTTCATATGTTTGTTTTTAATATGTTCATGTAGGATATGTGAATACTATGAGAAAAACTATGCTGCTGCTCTAGAAACTTTTACAGAAGGACAAAAATTAGATAGTAAGTATTAGAATTTTGCTTTTAAAAAGCTAGTATTATTCTATATCTTAAATATAAAAGCTAAATTTTGTTCATGTATCCTCAAGTTAATTGTGGAAACCTGCTGGGTGTGGTGATGCACAGCTGTGATCCCAGCACTTGGGAGGCTGAAGTAGAACGATCACTGCAAGTGTGAGGCCAGCCTGGGCTAGAGTGAGTTCAAGGCCAACCTGAACTACATAGTAAGACCTTGTCTCACAAAAGAACAAAATTGTATAAACCCACCATCTCTTTCTTTCTCTTAGTGACATTTCTTATTGATTATAGAATTTGAATTCATTTAAAAATGAATGAAAATTGGCATTTAAATAATAAACTTTGCTTCTAGAATCCAAGAAAACTTCATAAAAATATATAAGAGTATGCTCTTCCTATTATGTCTGGCTTTAGTTTTTCGAATGGAAAGTTTAATTTGCTGTCTTGTCTAAAAGTCTGTACTTTATTTTTATTTTTTATTTTTTCTGTATTTTAGGGAAGGGTCTACAGGGTTTTCAAGGTCTCACTACTAGATTGGGCTTTTAGTGCTTCTCCTGTTTACAGCCTCCCAAGTTCTGGGATAACTGGTGGGTGCCACCATGCCCAGTCTCAGTAGCTCTTTCGGCATGCCCCTGGGGTGGGGCTGACATGGCAGGCCCAGGGATTGAACCGGGCTTTAATCTGCTGAGCTATTTGGCTGCCCCTAAGTCTGTGTATTTTATTTATTTATTTATTTATTTTTTGCGGAGCTGGGGATTGAACTCAGGCCCTTGCGCTTGCCAGGAAAGCGCTTATTCAACTGAGCTATCTCCTCAGCCCCAGTCTGTGTATTTTAAATTATTTAGATGGCTAAAATGGGAAATCTTGCTACAAAGCCTTATGCAGAAGTAAAGTGTAAGTTTGAGTGAACTATGCAGGGTACAGAAAAAATAAGGGCTTTGAGTATTGTCCTTTTTTGAAAGGAATATACAAACAACATGTGGGTGTTTAGATACATAAATAGAAATTGTGAGCGCCAAGAAGTTTTAAATCTTCAAACTACTAAAAGATCCAGGTTACGAATCATCTCACAGAAAATTATAGAGTACATAATCCTCTGTACCATTGCTTTTATTTTATGTCAGTGTAATGACAAATCTCTCCCTACTCCCTTCTGTATTGGTGCTCAAACCAAGGCCTTGTACATGCTAGGAAATCACTGGCCTTTAAGCCACATCCTCCATACCCCCTTTAGTTATCTTGAGACAAGGTTTTGCCAAATTGCCCAGGCTAGCTTCAAGTTTGAAATTCTTCTGCTTCAACTTCCCAGTAGCTGAGATTATAGGAGTATGCCACAGTGTTTAGCGAAAGCAGTGTTTATTTACTGGAAACAGTTTCATTTCTGGGGGGACTTACTAATCAGTGTCTGAAAAGATTTTTTTTTTTTTTTTTTTCTGAAAAGATTTTTGATTGTCATGATTAGTGGTTGGGATATGCTACTGACATCTAGTGAGCAGAGACTAGAGATGCTAATCATCATCCTGTATTGCACAGGACCTCCCCCCCACCCAACAACAGTAATAGTAGCTGGATATGATGAGTCAGATCTATAATTCAGGCAGTCTGAGAGCCTGAGGCAGAATCCCCCTCTACTGCTTTAACATTTGCTTTTCTGCTGTATGCATACTGAAGAAAGCTATGGATATGGAAGCTATAAATTAGGAAGAGGGAAGGATCCAGGCAATATGTGTTGTTGAACTTCCTTCTTTCAGTTTTGGTTCATGAATTGTATAACTGTTCAGCTAGCAAAAGCTAGGGTTACTATTTAATGCCTTGATACATATTTGAAAACTATATATAAACATGAGTTCTTTTGTCATTTCTATCCTATACTATTTCACTGAAATCTAGCATTTTGTTTTTTTTCCTTTTTCTTTTTTTAGAAAGAGTCTCACTATGTGGCTCATGCTGGCTTTGAGCTAACTGTGTGGTCTAGGCTAGCCCCAAGTTTGCAGTGTTTCCTGCCTCCCAGTTGCTGGGATTACAGGTGTACGCACAAATCTAGAATTTTTAAAATTTTTTAAAAATTTAGTACAGGGTCTACAGGGTCGCACTACACAGATCAAACTCATAGTGATCCTTTTGTTTTCAGCCTTCCAAGTACTAGGATTGCAGATGGTCGCCACTACACCCAATCTCAGCCCAGTTTTAGTCGCCATCTCAGTGTGCCCCTGGGGAGGGGATCCCCAGTCCCTGTGTCTGCCTAAGCAGGCACTTTAATCCACTGAGCTATCTGGCTGATCCTCAAATACAGAATTTTGATACAGTAGTACCCCAGTATAATATAGTGTGTGTATTTAAAATTTTTATTATGACATGTTATAGTTTAATTTCTTTTATGAATTAATGGATTAAGAAATTTAAAAATAGTAGTTTTCATTTTTCAGAATAATCTTGGCTGCAGTTAGGTTGCATTAGTAAGCTTTTATTTTTAGAATATTGTAATAATGGGGCTGGGGAGATAATTCAGTAGAGTGTTTGCCTGGCAAGTGCAAAGTCCTGACTTCAGTCCCTGGAACTGCAAAAAAGAAAAAAGGAAAAGCTCAGAATATTGTAATATTTTCCTTGACATTTTATTATGTACTGTGACTCTTTATGTGTTTTTTTAGGTCTTCAGAGGTAAATAATTTGTTTATACATTTACACTGTTATCTGTAGATATATAGTTCATTATGTGTAGGCCTTTGCCTGTCATATAACTTGGAGATGTGATCAAATTTTAACAGAGTACATATAAAAATACGTCTTGATATTGTAGGAAAGGCATGGTAATAAAACCTCTGAGAGAATAACTAACTGAATAGGTAGCTGCATTGAAGAGCAAGCAGGGGCTGGGAGAGATCGCTCAAGTTCAACCCAGCTACCAGTTAACCCACCCTAACTGGTTGTATTTTGGAAGTCTGATTCAGATCTGATTTTATTGTGTAAGAGGAAGTTCTTTTAGAGCAGGGCAGTGGGAGGAAATGTAGTATAGATATATGGGAAACTAGTGCTAAAATTGACTTCATTTAAAACTAATAAATTTTCCAGATGAACAATTAAATATTACCTTTATTGATAATGTTTATGGCTGTAGTATTAAGGTTGCTGTACGGCAGTGGTGGCCAATGTGTGGCATGTGTGTGGCAGTGGTGGGCAGGACTGTCTTTGCTGGCTTGTGAGCCAACTATGTAAGTTGTTTTTCCTGAACCTAAAACCTTAGTATTTAGTTTTAATTGCAGCATTGGCACTTTGTGATAATCAGTGAGTTTTGGGTTGTAGTTTGAGTACTTTGTCTCTAAATAGTTCACCATCACTGTAGGTGCTATGAGGACAAGTGCTTTATCTGTTTTATTCACTGCTGAATCTGGAGTACCTAGAACAGTACTTAGGATACAGTAGGTGTTCAGTAGCATTTGTTGAATGAATGTTATGTTGTTCAGATAAGTGATGTTACAAAAAAAAAAAGTGATTTACAATTTTTTCTTTCTAGGTGCAGATGCTGATTTTATTGTCTGGATTAAAAGATGTCAAGAGGCACAGAATGGTGAGAATCGTATGTAGATTTTAAATGGTCTTTTAATTTAAAAAGAAACATCTGAAAGTTTTTTAATCAAAATTTTAATATTTAATTCAAGTAGTATATATCTCATTGCATATAGATTTCTAGAAATGCTCATTTTTGTCTCATCTACTTAAGAGATTTGGATGGATTACTTTATAGTAATATGGTATTCTAATAAATATCTAAGGAGTCTCAAATACTCAAAAGATGCAAATTTTAATTTATTTGAAAAATACAGAGAATTGGCTTTATATTTCTGCCATAGAAAACACATCTGTGACTTTACCTGTCAGTGTACTATTATCTGAAAGTTTATCTTTTTTCATGTTTTATAGGATCAGAGTCTGAGGTGGTAAGTTTAAAGTACTCATTCTTCACATTTTTACCTAATACTAAATTTCATATATCAAATACATTTGAGATAGCACTTGAGATGAGCTCTATTAAATAGTGCATGATCTTTGGTGAAAAAATTGTGGAAGTGTATAGTCATGAAAACTAATGGACTGTACTAATAAATTTAAATTTGTTTTGTGTGATCAGGATGATTATTTTCTATCATTTATTAGGTTAAACAGAATTTTTTTTTCTTTTTTATTTAGTATAGGGTCTACAGGGTCTCACTACACAGAAACAGTTGGAATTAATTGTGTAGCTTTTTATGGTAGGTTTAAGGCAGTTAATACAAGATGTGTAGGCATGTTTAGTGTATTTTATCACTGCTATGGTTCAGTCTAGTTTTATTGTTGTACCAGAATCAACTAGAATAAGATCTAGTCATTATATTGATGTAATATGATCTGCATTCAGCTATTTCTAAATCCTTAATACTGGAGAGTTAATTCTGAGTTAGACTTCTAAGTAGTTTTACTTCTATGCCTGTGCCATACACCATCTTTTCCCTTCTCATTTAGGAACAATTTAAGAGGGCACCTGTGACCCAGGAATAATTTCTTTAAATTTACAGTCTTAACTGGTGCACATTTAGGAAAGTATGGATTGGCTACTTTATTTATTGATGAGCAGTGTCTGGCAGAGAGGCCATAAATGGAATAAGATGTTAATAGGAAGTGAATAGTGGAAATGTTCCTTTATGGGTTTCAAGAGCAGTGTTTTATATCATTGTTAAGCTAGAAGGTTATACTTTTTCATAAAAATAGTTTTAAAAATGGTATTGTCAAATTTAGGGAGTTACTGCATTTTAGGGCTTTTACCTAACTAACTTTTCCAAGTCATACCTTTAGAAAATCTTTATTTGAACCTTTTAGAAAAGAATCTTTAAAAGTAGAAACTATTAGAGTGACAAAATGGTGAACATTGTAATCTTTTGTGAAGACTATTAACCATTGTAGGTGACATGATTTGTCATTGAGGAACTTTTTGTGGTAATGACTTTGTATCAAAAGAATGGTGGCACTGGGTAAATTAATAAGGCGTGTATTTTTCTTGCATTTTTTATACTGTTGCTAAGTTAATTTATGAAAATCTTTCTCTTTCATATTGCCAAAATCATTCTTCATCCCAGAGGACACTGTCAAAAATTAAGTAAGTGTTTCTTGACACATGATAACAATGCGTAATATGCCTAAAGAAGGTGGGGGGGGGACTTGTAGTTTATTTATTTTTATTTTTTAATTTTTTGACTCGTTTAAATAGAAAGCAAGTCCTTGTTATGTGATTTTTAAGTATTTTTTTTCTTTTAAATCATTATGGCCTTAAGAAAAACTTTAAAGCTGCCTGTGGGTTAGCTTTAATATATATGCCTAAATAAAAATAAATTTTTAAGTTACTTAACCTACCTCCGTATTCAGGCACCTTTCTGTATGTTAAGGAGAGCTTATTTTAGTGTTAACAGGTGTTACTATACATAAATAAGTTGTTAGTTTAACGTAGGAATTTTCTTGCCTCATATGTACAGTAAATTTTTCATAGGACTATTCTGTATAAGTTGAAAGAAAGTTAATATCGTAGGCTACTGGGGAGACAGCTCAGTAGAATAAACGCTTGCCTGGCAAGCATAAGGGCCTGAGTTCAATTCCTGGTTCCACCAAAAAGAAAAGAAAGTTAATATTGTTGAGGGAACAGGTTACAGGGATGAGTAAGTAACTAATAGTTATTTGATTTTTTTACCCTCTGGTTCATTCACCTCATGCCCTCAGAGATGCTGTGGATTGAACCCAAAGTCTTCACACTAAGCTTCATCCCAGGGAAGCACTTACTCCACTGAGCCATCTCCCCAGCACCCTAAGCTTCATTCCCAGGTGTTTTTTTTTTTTTCTTTTATTTTGGCGGAACTGGGGATTGAACTCAGGCCCTTGCGCTTACCAGGGAACCTGCATCTTTTAAAGTTCTTTTTATTTTGAAGCAAGGCCTTGCTAAGCTATTAAATTGCCCACCCAAACTAGGCTTGGCTTTATTTTTATTTATTTTTTTTTTGGCGGAACCAGGGATTAAACTCAGGACCCTGCACTTGCCAGACAAGTGCTTATTCTACTGAGCCATCTCACTGGCCCTAGGCTTGACTTTATAAACCTTTTTTAAAATTTTAGTGTATTTAGTATAGGGTCTACAGTACAGAGTCTCGCTACACAGATCAGACTTGTAGTGATCATTCCTGTTTTTCAGCCTCCCAAGTGCTGGGATTACAGGGGCATGCCATCACATCCAGTCTCATTTGCCATCTCTCAGCACCAAAGGCTAGGGATCCACCCCCCTCTCCCCCACACACCCAAAAAGGCTTTTTAATCCACCAAGCTATCTGGCCAGCCCTGAATTTATAATCCTTTTGCCTCAGCCTCCCAGTGTGCTAGGCTTACAGGGTTGTACTCATGTCAGATTGTTGAATTTATTCTTATTTGTTAGTAGTATACTAGTACAATTTGTATTCTTCAGACTGTAACAGAAAGAAACATAAGGCATTGATATGGACCTTACATCTTCACTGAATTGCAATGCTTTTTGGCATACTTATCTAAAATGGCTTATAAGTCTTAAGACAATTTTTTGGGGGGAAATAAAGGATAAAACTGGGCCAGGGAGAAAGCTCAGTGGCTTAAGTGCCTGCCTGGCAAGTGTAAGGCTCTGAGTTTGATCCTGATAACAACAAAAAGATTTGTTTACCTGGTAAGTAAAAATCTTTGACTTTGTATAATAGCCAGAGCAAGAATAGAACTCATAAACATCAAATAACTATGGTATTTGGAACATAAAAATAATACATTTAATAGTTATACTGTGAAGCAGGCACTGTGCTTATTCTTGGGATTATAATATAGTAACTAGATAAGTAGCTCTTTTTTTGGTGCAGGGTCTCACTATGCAGCTGCAGTTCAGACTCACAGATGCAGTTCAGACTCTTAGTGATCCTCCTGATTTCTGCCTCCATGTTGCTGGATTTACAGGCATGTGCCACTGTGCTCAGACTCCATTGCTAGTTCAGCACTCTCAGGGGCGTGTCACGTCTCCCTTGCCTCTATGCTTACCTAAGCAAGCGCTTATTCCACTGAGTTATATTGCTCTCCCTTAGATAAGTAGCTCTTAAAGAGATTATAGTCTATTGTAATTAAAATGAAAGTTTCTACATTTTTAGAGCTTCAGGTGTGTGAGGTACATATGAGGATCCCTACATACTGGCCATCTTGTGACAAAATTGAAGTGGAAGGCATTATGTACAATATTGTAGTTGGCACAATGTGTGAACTTGAAGTTAGTTTAGGCTCATTTGCCCAAGGGCTCATACCTGGTGCTTAGGACTGTTTAATAGGGAACTTGGAGTGTTAACTTAGACTGACCTGGGTATATTTAACAGTGCTCCACTTAACTGTGTGCTTCACCTTTCTGAACTTAAGTATTTGTATCTGTAAAATAGGGACAGAAGTGTTTACCATGTTAGCATTAAGTGAAAATGAGAATACAAAGCTATTGATGGCTGTTTAGAACAATTTTTTTTTTTTTTTTTCAGAACTGGGGATTGAACTCAGGCCCTTGTGCTTGCCAGGCAAGCACTTATTCTACTGAACCATCTCCCTGGCCCCTAGAACAATTTTCATCAGTAATGCTAGGACAATGATAATAGAAAAATCATATAATATTTAAGTTTTTAGAAAGATTTGGGCGTCATCTACTTACCGTTTTCTTCCATTTGTACAGATCATATAGAATGTATTGTAAAAAATTGTTTCTTTGAATCAGCAGTTGCTTTGCCATTTTTTTTTTCAAGGAGCTTTTGTTTAATCAGAGTAGTTTTTATTTTTTGTCTGAGACCTTGTTTTGCTGTGCAGTTCAGGCTGGTCTTGAACTCACTTGGTATCCCAGGCTGGCCTTGAACTTGCAGTGTTACTCTTGCCTCAGCTTTCTGAGTGCAGGGATTACAGGCATGCACCACCAGTTTCAATTTACAAACAACTTGAAAATTAAGATGCTGTTTTTTTTTTTTCTTAAATAGGTATGACTGGTACCAAACAGAATCTCAAGTAATTGTAACACTTATGATTAAGAATGTTCAGAAAAATGATGTAAATGTGGAATTTTCAGAAAAAAAGGTAATTATTGTGAAGCTTATTTTATGAGCTGGTTAAATGCTACTATTTACAAATTGAAGAATCTGTTTATCAAATACATACCATTTTTCCTGAGATTTAGAAAATGATGAATAGCATTGCATTTTAATTTTAATTATTTTAAATTTGAGATGCAGTTATGTATTTATACTGTAAGTCATGGCTAAATGTGCATTGTGTTTGTAGATTTAGAATTCAGAGCACAACTTGGGTGTCATTGATAAGATACTTGATTTGGTTGTACCTGGATGGGGTATTTCATAAAAGAAAGTCTAGGTATTTGCTGTGTGATTTGTACATATGTTAGGATTTACTAGTCATATTAAATGAGTATGACTTAACTGAATTTTTTAGCATTTTGTAAGGAAATACACACACACACACACACACACACACACATATACACACATATATATGAGGTAGTGGTAGAATTACATCTAGCTCTGAATAGTTTCTTTTTTGTTAAATCCTGTATCATTTTGCTCTTGAGATTTAAATGTTACATACTTGAAATTACATATATGATGTTATGAAATACATTCGTTTCTTTTTAACTATATGCAGAACCCACCCCCAAAATGTATACATCAGGTAAACAAAACCTTGTATAAATATCTGGATACTAAATTTATTGAAACACTGTAAAATTAATACAAGTTACCTTTGGGCTCTACAATTGCTAGAGGTACTCAAAGTGGTGATCAACTTCTAGACATTTTTAGTACAGCAAGCTACTGAAGTATATATACATGCTTTTTTTTTTTTCTGGATATGAGAATTCACATGAAATATGTTTGGGCCATATGAAAAGAAAACTTATTTTGAAGTTATTAAATCTGTTACTCTAAATATAGTGTTTTTACAGAAATCTTTAACATTGTTAAATATTTTGTCTATATCTTTTTTTTTTTTTTGGTAGAACTGGGGATTGAACTCAGTATATCCAATTTAACTAATTTACACTTTATTATGTAAATTTGTAATATGATGCTGTGTTGCTGATTTTGTATTCATTAGTTGTCTGCTTTGGTGAAGCTTCCATCTGGAGAGGATTACAATTTGAAACTGAGACTGCTTCATCCTATAATACCAGAACAGAGTACATTTAAAGTACTTTCTACAAAGGTAAGGCAGTTGGAGAAGGTAATGAGTAATAATTTCAAAATACAGAAATAGTTGGTGAACAAGTCACCTGTAAGCCTGCAAGATCTTTTAAAGGCACTTACTTTAAGAGTAACAGGTAGTCAAGAGAGATAACTTGAGTTTCAGTGATTTTTACTACTCAGATTCTAAAATATATGTATAATTATCAACTCTTTTGAGATTTGTTACTGATAAAACACCTTGTCAAAGTTTGTCAATGTGGTCTGTTTGACATACAAATATTTTTCTTAACATACTTCAGTTAAAAATACAAACTACTCTAAAAATCAATCTAGGGGGGCTGGGGAGTTAGCTCAGTAGAATAAGTGCTTGCCTGGCAAGCTCAAGGGCCTGAGTTCAATCCCCAGTTCCACAAAAAAAAAAAAAAAATCAATCTAGGGCCAGCCAAATAGCTCAGCAGATTAAAGCTCCTGTTTAGGCAGATGCAGGGGCCGGGAATTTGATCCCCAGGACTACTGTGCCAGCCCCGCCACCAGGGTGCGCTGAGACAGTGATTGAGACTAGGTATGGTGTTGTGAACCTGTAATCCCAGCACTTGGGAGGCTGTAAACAGGAGTATCACTACAAGTCAGATCTACACAATGAGACCCTGTACACCCTGTCCTAAATACAAAAAAAAAAAAAAAAAAAAAAACTTTTTTAATTTCAGTTTTCATTAAACTAGATTTTAGGTTACTTTATCTGAGAGACTAGTGAATAATAGTTTTTGGTAACTACAGCTTTAATTCCTTTATATTTTCATAAAAATGAAAATGAAATAAAAAACAGCAGAATTTGTATTTAGAGGGTATTTTAAATATTCGGAAATACAGGTAGTAGTGTAATTTAGTAGGATAAATATTGATTTGAAAACCAGAATATCTGAATTCTGGTTTTGGTTTTTGCTTGCCTGGTGAATTTAATCTAGTCACAAAATGACTATAGGACTACATTTTCAATTCCTGTAAAATAAAGGGTGTGGACTAAATGAACACTGAAATCTTTATAGGTGCAAAATTGTATGATGAAGTTATATGAAGATGTATGATAAATGAATTAACAAGAATGAATGGAATAAGCCTTTCGCATTTAGTATGTTTTTTTAATGTAGGTCCTGGAACATAGTATGTTATTAACTCTTCTGTTTAGATGATAAAACGTGTGAAGTGTATTATGAAATAGGATCAAGTTTTACATTGATCATGAACAGTAGTAACTACATATACAAACAGGACAACTGCAGAGGGTTAGAGGAGGAAGTTTAAAGTGATGTGGTAGTTTTTACATCTAGTTAGGATTAGCTTTTTAAAAATTTACGTGACTATTGCTGAGTACAAAGTTGGCAGTTTGTGAGTCAGATACATGAAATAGCACTGTTTGGCATTGTAGAAATTGAGAAAGGAGAAATCTTTACTAGGATTTCAGTTGCTACTGTCCTCTCCACATAATGTAAAATTTGTTTAATAAAAGAATTCTGAATAAACAAGTACAAAGTGCTGGAAGATTTGAGAGGGTCACAGGTCAAGATATTTTTTTATTGTATTGAGAAATGCATAGCAATGAGATAGTTTCAAAACAGGTTAGGACTGTCGCGCACGACCTCGCCAGCAAGGAGACGCAACAACCAGTTCTTCCTTCAGCGGTTTATTCAGGCCCCTGATTACAAGCTTCTTCCTCTCCAATCCCCCAGCCCTTGGCTAATATATACTCCCGAGCCCAATCCCAGTGTGCCACGTGGGGATCACCCATGGGTCCAGCATATGCGGAAGCAAATCATGACAGCAGCCCTGGCCATATAAGGAGTTATTGTGCACAGAGAGCGCTCACCCACGGGGGGTGGAAGGCGGAAACCAGCGCCATCTTGTAGGCGCGGTCCTTCGCAGCTCTCCACAGTTCCCCCTTTTTGTTTTGCAACACGCAAGGGCAGTGGTCTGATCTCTGCTGTGCAAAGGCTCTGTAGCATTGTGGTCCAGGCGTTCTTCGCCCAGAGACAATGCGACTTGCCCGATACCCGTTTTCCGCAGAGGTGGGGAGTTTAGGGCATCAAACCCACATGCAATCAGACGTACCCTTCTTGGCCTTCCAGCTCCACTGGGTGCCAAGTGCAGTGCTTTGCCTCACAGCCTGTGATACTTGGCTGGCTACTTGGCCAGGGTGGCCAGCCAAGCACCGGGGGACTGTCCGATCTCAACGGCTGCAAGGGCTTGGGCTATCATGACTGCATCCCGCCGCCGCTGAGACCTCATGCGACAGATACACCACAAACACGCCAGGGAGAGCAGCACTATCATGACAGTCAGGGCCCCCACTCCCGCCCATTCCTTCAAGTGGTCCATGGCTTTTGTGAGTAAGGATGCTAGTCCTTCTGCAAATCTGGTATCCATGCGGGTCAAGTTCACTGCAGTGATCGCCACCCTCAATTGCTCCAGGAGGGCGTCAACGGTGCTATTCCATTGTCCTCTGGTCTTCTGGCCTGACTCTTCTCACTAGTCGCTCCGGCACCCAAATAGGGTCGTGGTGATCCTGTGGAAAAACACAAACAGCGCCTCGTGCCCAAGTGAGCACGGGGTCCCGTCCGTGCCAACAGCCAGACAGAATGTCCTTCCATTTAACCATGCCCTTGTTGGCTCCATCAGGTGTAGAATGTCTTTGTGCCGCGGAACAACCTTGGGCATCCAAATTTAGAAAATTGAGAGTAAAGAGGGCCAAGGAAAGTCTCTCCTGTGGGGTGCGGCCATAGCCTATTCCCCCTTTTTGTTTTGAGAGACATTCCTTAAGCGTGCGATGAGCACGCTCCACAATGCCTTGGCCTTGCGGGTTATATGGTAATCCATGTAGGAGTTGCACCTCCATTTGCTGGCAGAAAGCGGTGACTCGTGTGCCCGTGTAAGCTGGCCCATTGTCTGTCTTGAGTGTTTGTTGTTTTCCCCAAGCGGCCCAGGCCGCTAGGCAATGTGATATCACATGGCAAGCCTTTTCCCCGGTCAAGGCAGAAGCATGAACAATTCCTGAACTGGTATCTACAGATACATGTACATATTTGAGCTTCCCAAAATCCGAAATATGTGTTACATCCATTTGCCATAATTTTAAGGGCAATAGACCCCGGGGATTTACACCATGGGTCGGGGAAGGCTGGTGAATGACACTTTGAGGACACCCGAGTACAACCTGACGCGCATCAGCTCGGGAGAGGGAAAATTTTTGTTGTAGAGTTCTTGCATTTACATGAAAAGACTTATGGAACTCTCTTGCTCGCTCCAAGGCTGAGCCCAAGAAGACCCATGGCTGTCGGGTCCATCTGTCTACACTGGTGTTGCCCTCACTCAGGGGCCCAGGCAGACCTGTATGTGCTCTAATATGCTGTGGAAAGAAAGGAGAAGTCCTGAGCTGTATGAGCCTCTGCAATTGGCCAAGCAAGGAGTTAACAGTGCTGTTTTGCTTAATGGGACCTGCGGCCTCTAGTATCTTCAAGGCATTGACAACATAAGCTGAATCTGAGACTAGGTTAAATGGGAAGGGGCAGGCACAAAATACTTCAATAACTATTTGCAATTCCACCTTTTGGGGCATGCCAGGAGGGAATTGATGTTGAACTGGAGCTTGGCCCTCTACCATATATGCGCCGTACCCTGTTTTAGAGCCATCAATAAATGTGGTCACCACACCTGGAATGGGCTGCGTGGCCGTAATCTTAGGGAAGATAATGGGGTGTTCTTTAAAGAATGACATCAGGGGGTGTTTTGGGTAGTGATTGTCGATGAGACCCATAAAGCCACATCGCAAAATGGCCCACTCATCTGTAGTAGCACATAGTGTGGCCACTTGGCTAGCCGAATAAGGCGCTACAATAGAGGTGGGCACTGCCCCAAACGCTTGAATGGTTTGCTGCACCCTGGACTGTGCCAGATTGGCAACCATGATAGGGTAATATTCGATGGTCCTAGCAGGGGAAACTCTGGGATGTATCCACAGCACTGGGCCTTGTTGCCACAGCAGCCCCGTGGGCTGTCGGGAAGTTGGCAAAATGCACAAGGTAAGATCCTTTCCTTCCTGGACCCGATGTACGCATATTACCTTGGGGATCTTGGAAGACTGGATAGGCCAGCGAGAGCTCGGCCTGGACTGTTCTCCATACCCCTGGATTAAAAGACCATCCAGATCGGTCCCGTCCCCCATCATCTTCATAGGCAGTCGGAGCAGAGGGCTCCGCCCCTACCCCGAAGGCTAGTTCTTGTTTCTTCCTGGGTTCCTTCCTCCTTTTGGGTTTCTCCCCTGTCATGCTCAACTGTCTGAGTGCTTCAGCAAGGGCACGATCGTCTTCTGTACCGTTATCTGAGTCTGAGTCCTCCTCAGGGCCCTCGGACTTCTCCTCTCCAGAGCTGGATGAAGCAAGCTCCGCGAGGTCGGGGTAAAGCTTCCTCCTTGGTCTCGCTCCCTCTGTTTCCCAACTCCTCCCCTTTTCACTAGCTGTCCTCTCAGACCTTTCCTCCTGCAATTGTTCTAGTGCTATCTTCTCATTAGTCACCGCCCTGCTGCACCATTGGTCTTGTAAGCAGCCACGGACTAACCTCCACATAGGCAGCGTTCTGGCCTTGAGCACGCCCTGCTCATGCGCAAAGCTGAGATCCTTTCCCAGTTTGTCCCAGGCATGGACCGTCAAGCTTCCGGAGGTGGCGAACCAAGGGGCCACATCATCGCATTCCTCCAGGAACCTCTTAAGGGTATTTTTCCTCAACTTAAGTTTCTTAGAGTTAAGCAGCTCCTGTAGAGCCAGAAAAATTGGGTGTGAAGTAGACACGCCCATGATTCAACTTATACTTTGACTTCGGAGTTCGCTCGTAGGCA